ATATTAAAGATTCTTTGCTTAAGGCACAAATGCACCTGGGTGTGACTTTTTTAATGGTACATTTCCGTAGCAAGTAGCATCATCTTTGATGAAAGAGTGTGGCGAGAGGCCTTGTTATGACTCCCCATGGGGACTATGACAGCACATTAACAAGGGAAGAGGCAATATAAGGGGGCAAGCAAGGGTGAACCTTGTTATTTTAGAAATTCAAAACAATGAAGCCAACCTTCTGACTCTGGCATCACCAGACCTCAGGCATGGGCCAGGAGTTGAAGGAACGGGTGGGGACTGACAGACAGAGGTAGAAGGGATTGAGAACACAATCCCTTGAGAACATAAGCTCCTGTCTTATCTCCATCTGATGCTTGTGTAATTTCAGAAAAAAGTCCTTTGGTTAGGTTACTATATCTTCATCCCATTTGTTTATTTACCACAGGTACTCCAGGGAAATAAATGTGTTCAAAGCATTCCGAGGAAGGTATCCACACAAACAGGTAGTGAAAGGCATTAGGACAGATGTTGCAAACTTTGACATCTGATCTTTCCTGAAATGTTTACAGAGTGTGCTGAAGGAGGTAGGAAGGATCTTCTCACTTCTCCTAGTGACAAACTCCCTGCAGTACTAGCCCTTCAAGAGCAACTGTCAACTCCTTTGAGAAGTCCATCTTGCCACCACTCTCGGGGGCTCAGAGCACTTCATAAACATCTTTGTTGAAGACAGTCCCACAGGTAGGTTTTTCTCAGCTTTGTGTGCTCCACTCTCCAAGGTCTGACACATGATAAGTGCTTAAGTAATAAGTACTGAATGAGTGAAAGTTTCTGCTCTTCAGAGTGTACATCTAGAAAGGGAATCTTGTTTTAAAAGAATAAACAGAAGAGAAACAATTTGTCTCTGACTAAGTCAACTATGTTTCAGGAGACCATTTGTTACTCAAGTTTCATTTATTTTTTTTTTAGTCTAATTTTTGGACAATATATGATTTCTCTCTTCAGGTGTGGTCATTGTAGTACTCCCACCACTAAAACACCCATAGTCTATCACCATATTCCCTTGTTCTGCCCCCACACCCCTAGCTCCATTTTCATCTCTTCTCAGCACTCGGTCTACCCCTCTCTTCATGGATACCTTATATCTATGGTCAGTTTTCAAGATTTGTCTTTGACTTTTTGTTTTTTCCTATATTCCACATATAAGTGAAACCATTCAATATTTACCTTTTTTGCTTCTAACTTATTTCACTAAACATCAACCCTTCCAGCTCCATCCCTGTTGCTGCAAATGGCATGCATTTATCTTTTTTGATTTGTGAGTGGTATTTCATTCATGTATACCATATCTTCTTGATCCATTTATCTGTTTTGGGGCATTTAGATTGTTTTCAAATCTTGGCTATTGTGAATTGTGGTGCAATAAACATAGAAGTGCAGGTTTCCTTTCAAATTATTTTGAGTTCTTTGGGTGGCTCCCTAGGACTGGAATAGGTGGGTCATATGGCAGATCCATTTCTAGAATGCCCCCATTCTTTCCTTTTTCAGTCAGGAGAGCTTTGTCTATTTGGAGCTTTAGTGATTCCATGTCAATTTCAGCAATATTTGTTCCATTTCTTTGAAGAACACCATCTCAATTTTTATTGGAATTGCACTGAGTCTGTAAATTGCTTTGGGTAGCTGGTAATTTTGATAATGTCAATTCTTCCAACCCATGTCTTTCCATTTCTTTGTGTCTTCTTCTATTTCTTTTAACAATGTTTTATAATTTTCCTTGTATAGGTCCTTCATCTCCTTTGTTAGGTTTATTCCCAGGTATTTAATTTTTTTTTGTTGTTGATGTTTATAATTGCAAATGGACTGGCTTTCTTAATTTCTTCCTCATAGGCTAATTGTCTGCATATAGGAAGGCAACTGCTTTTGTGTATTGATTTGTAACCTGCTGCTGTACTGAGTTGGTTTATTGTTTTAATTCATTTTTCTGTGGATTTTTTTAGGGTTCTCTCTCTGTATTATCCCATTATCTGCAAAAATGGTAGTTTTACTTCTTCTCTCTTTATTTGGATTCATTTTATGTCTTTCTCTTGCCAAGTTGCTTTTGCTAGGACTTCTAGTACTATGTTGAATAGTAGTGGTGAGAGTGAATATCCATGTCTTGCACTGGATCTTAGTGTAAAGGCTGCCAGTTTTTCTCTATTAAGAAAGATGTTGTCTGTGGGTTTGTCACGTATGGATTTTTATTATGTTGAGATATGTTCCCAAGTTTTTCAAGGGCTTTCATCATAAATTGATGTTGAACTTTATCAAATGCTTTCTTTGTTTATTGATAATATCACATGGCTTTTCTTTTTCTATTTGTTGATGTGGTAAATTACATTTACTGACTTTTGGATGTTGAATCATCCTTGTGTCTCTGGAATGTTGAATCATCCTTGGATGTTGAATCATCCTTGTGTCTCTGAAATAAGTCTCACTTGGTTATGTTGTATAATCCTTTTTTTTTTAAACTTTTTTTTTGGGGGATTTATTTATTTATTTATACAAGAACCGGGGTCCAGGCCAGATGTGAGGGAGGGTGAGAGGATTCACCAGAGACAGAGTGGGGAACAGAACAGGCAGACTGACCGAAATACACTGCTCAGGAGGGCAGTGGGCAAGACAAGAGAGGTCTGCTGCGCCATGTGGGTTGCTCCCTGGCCGGCCTGGGATTGAACCACTGCTGCAGAGGCTGCGGGTTGCTTCAAAATGCTGTGCTTAACCCCTTACGCCACCAGGGAGGCCCCTTAGACATGCAGTTCAATGTGCTAGAAATTGTTCTAGAAATATGTTCTTTAATTGGGCATCTATTTACGTCTCTCTGTTTATGTGTGTATTATGTGCCTGCCTACCTACCTTAACTGATGTCATTCTTTTTGTGCTTGCTCCTCTGTAACCTGTACTCCTCAAAGCACCCAAGGATCCTTTGATAATGTAATTCAGAGCCTTATTATGGCTACAAGGCTGTACATGTTTTGACCTCTGGCCACCCACCAAGTGTATCACTTTCCATCACTAACTCTGCTCTAGTCATTTTAATATCTCTGCTTTACTTAAATGTGCCAAACTCCATCTTAGTGCTGCTGTGTTTGCTGTTGTTTGATGGCCCCTTCCTTTCACATCATTCAAGTCTCTGCTATAAGGTTATCTTATCAGAAATGAATACTATGCTTTTCTCCATAGGACTTATTACCATTTGGTAGATTATATATTTAATTATCCTTCTGCTTTCATTCTCACACTTCACCCCTCACCAAATGCAACTCCAGGAGAGTCAAGAGTGGAATGTCTTTTCTTCACAAAATCCTCACTGCCTATCTAGCGGGCATAGCAGGAATTTCAAAAATGCATGTGGAAGGAATGAATGATGACTATTTCTGTGTGCTCATAATCTGAAATTTGTTAGTTATGCTTTCTCTCGGTATTGCTATGCCTCTGCTTATCATGACATGCTAGGCTGTAGCACTGTCTAAGTCACACCACTCTAGAGTTATTGCAGAAAGTTAAAGAGAGACAATAGCAGACTGCTTAGACTCACAGAATGTTACTCTGGAAAGAAGCTTAGAGACCCCTATTTTATAGATGAAGAAACTGAGGCCCCATGAGGGGTAGTAACTCACACAGGACCACCTAGAAAGTTAGTAACAAAACAAAGATAGTAGTGCCATCTTGGTCTTTCATTTCCAATCTAGGATTCTTATTTCTATATTTGGAAATACTTTCATATTTATAAATGTTGTATGATATATCTAGCGTTTGTTTATTGTATACAGGCTGATAACGTCTTAAAATAGGCCTACAACAGCAAGGCCTGAGCCCCACAAAGAAAAGCATTAGTTTCCCTTAAAACAGGTCCACTGAACAAGCCCTTCAGGATTCTATTGGAGTTTCAGTTCTGAGGATCTGTCCACCATTATTGCTAACCTCTCAGCAGATGCACACAAATTATATTTCCTTTTAGGTACCCTTTTCTGAAAGAACAAAATAATATGGTTTAATAAACATTGAATACTTTATTTTTGCCTTCTTCCTAGAGTACAGCTGGATTGAGTGTGAACAAATTCAATTGCATTCATGCGTTACAAAAATCACAGAAAAAGTATTTGACCCAAAAAAGGTGATAAAATTGTGATTGCAACTCTATCTGTGTTATTATTTAAAGAGTCCTTTCTACTTTTTTAAAAAAGTTTTCCTTTATTAGAATTGAAGTGTGTAAGAAATGATTCTTGAAGCACTGGTGAATGTCCAGACTGGCCTCGATGGTAAACTCAAATTGAGCCAGATGTCCTTCGAATTTAAATCACATGCGTTTCCTTACAGATGACTGTCACTGTGTGGGAACCTTAGTATGGAGTTCTAAAGCGGCTACATGTGGCACACTAAGATAAAGTCCATTCTAAATACAGCTATAAAGAGTAAAGATATTCAAACTGTGCTAAATACATACCCCTTATCCTCCCCCAGGTCATACTATGTCTACCTCCAATACATGGCAAGACCACTTGGGAACAAGATGGCTCTTTTTTTTCAAAACCTTTAGAACTTGTACCTCCACATGAGCAGGGTTATACTCTTTAAAGTAATCACCATTGGAAGTTTTATAGTCGAAGACTATCATCACTAGGAATTTTTCTGGAATCTCCCTTAGAATACAGGTTTTTCAGACTCAGTATGTATACGGATAACCCAGGGACAGGTTAAGAAAGTAGGTTCTTAGAGATTTGAATTTAATTGGTCTTGGATGGAGTCTGGGAATGTGTATTTTAAGAAATATTTCAGGTAAGTTTTATATACAGGTGATCTGTGAGAAAAGAACAGTTTATTCCTAAGGATATCAAATTAAGGACTTTAAACTGTGTACACATACAAATAACACATTGGGGGTTTATTTTTTGTGTTTAAAATCTTCATTCTTCCCAATGGAACACATTAGTGCACACATGCATAGAAAAATCTCTTTGCAAACAACAACATACCTCCATGAAAGAGATTCCTAAGCTCCAGACATCAGAATGGATTCCATATTGCTCCCCTGAAATTCTTTCAGGCTACGAAAAAACAGAAGGGAGCTTGTGAGTTGATGTAAGCTACTTGAAGAAGCACATATACTGACATGAGCTCAGCTAAGGCAGGAACCTTGCACAGTACTTTACGAACCGCAATTTTATAGTTCTGTATTAATGTATATGTGTGTATTATATAGATAACAGATCTATCTATCTATCTATCTATCTATCTATCTATCTATCTATCTATCTATCTATCTATCTATCTACTCATACACACACACATACACACACACATATATCTCATTGAATCCTCACAAGTCCTTGCAAGGAAGACTTTATTAGCCCTATTTTATAGATGAAGAAAAGCAAGGCTCAGCATGGTGAAATAATTTAGGCAAGTCCTAAACTAGTTAATGAGCTGAAACTTGAATTCAGATCCTCGCTCTCCAAATCCAGTGGTCTTAATTGTGAAGCAACAAATTATGAAACATTCTATAACAGAACAACTGATTTGCATTTTGATAGATGGGATTGGATCAACAGGATTTCTTTTATTTTTAGTTTTTAAACTTTTTACTTGGGAATCATTTTCACTTTAGAGTAAAGTTGAAAGATCAAGACTGGTACAAAGAGGGGCCTCCCCGGTGGCGCAGCGGTTGAGCGCTGGGTTGCGAAGCTGCCCGCAGCCTCAGCGGCGCCGGTTCAATCCCCGGCTGCTCCCCGGTCACCGGAGGAGGGTCCCACATGGTGCGCAGACCTCTCCTGCCACCCGCTGCTCCCCTCAGCAGTGTACTTCGGTCCTTCTGCCTGCTCTGCTCCCCGCTCTGGCTCTGGTGAATTCTCTCACCCTCCCGCGCTTCTGACTGTACCCAGTGCATGTATAAACAAAGCAAGCAAACAAACAAATAAATAAATAAATAAATAACATGCCTTTAATAAAAAAAAAGAAAAAAAAAAAAAAAGACTGGTACAAAGAACATCCATAATTCCCTTGCCTACATTAATCTACTCTTCAACATTTTTATTCCACTTACAAGGGTTTTTTTTTTTTATATGAAATAAGGAATGGCCTGAAGGTCCATTTCAGACTGTTGGTCCTCTATTTAAGATAGGTAGCAAATTTCTGGTCTAGAGCACCACTAACACACTCTCTGTACTTGAGCAAGAATCATTTCATACTTAAGAAGTAGGTGTTGCCTGGTTTCTCTCTTTCTCCAGGATTTGAAACTCAGTAAGATTTAAATATATATATATATATATATTTTTTTTTTTTACATCATTGTTCATTTTTGTACAATGAATGCTTTCTCCTCTCAGGTATAGTCTCCATAAATTCTCACCACCAATTCACCCATGAATCATCACTGTAGTCGCTTGTGCTCTTTGCTTCCCCGTTTTGATCCCCATGCTTCCCCCCCTTACAGAATGTCTCTGATTTATAGTTGCCTGCTAATTTTGTTTGCTTATTTATTATTATTGTTATTTTTTTTCCTGATCCTTACTTGTTTCCCCTATATTCAGTAAGGTATTATATAGAAGTATTTTGAATGAACCCATGAGCAAATGAGTAAGAGACACTGAGGTTTCATGGAGGTGGATGAGTTGCTCAAGGTTACAGAGCCAATCGTGGCCAGGCTAAGATCAGAACTCTTGGTGCGCAAGACAGAATTCTATTCTCTGTACCATTCCTAGAGTTTCTGGCAGCCTCTATAGTCATCATCTTTCATGGACACTCTTAAGACTAGCTGGGGTTGGGGGAGCCTGTCTACTGCAGAGAGAGGAAGTGGGCAGCTACCACTGTAGCAGGGGATAGAGCAGGGGTGAGTGTCAGACACTCTTAGATGAGTTGGTACAGTCCCACATCTCGGGGAGTTAGTTTATCTGGGACCCAGATTACCTCCCACTCCAACCTACTGGGATACCTCAGTGTATTTGCTGCCTTCTCCAGGGACCACTTTCCATAAAATTAAATAAAGCCCTGCCCTGAGGTAGCAGGATGGATCGTCTTATTTCCCTTCCTTTATTTATTTCTTTAATTTGTAAAATCCTTTTCCTACCAAGAGTAATTCTTCCCAAGGGCCAAGTGTCATGTGACCATTTCTCACAGCTGCTAATAGACGTGGTCATTCCAGCCTCCTAATACTTTTTCTTTTTATGTTCTAGTCCTCCACAACATCGTTTCCCAAGTTCCTTGTTCACATATGATTGAACCTCTTAAGCCAATTCTAGTGAATTCATAGGATACTAGGATATATTCTCATGGAAGTTGCCAGCCAATTAAAGGAGTAATGCTGCTGTCATCACCATTATCATCAATATCACTATCAACATCACTATGTACATTTACTGAAGAATTTTCACGTGCCAGGTATTGTTTTAAGGACTTTTCATGCACATCTCACTTTAGATTCATAAACACTCATTTATTAGGTGACACTATCATCTTTATTTAACAGATGAAGAAAATGAGAGATGGAGAGGTTTAGTTTGTACAATTAAGTATAGGAGTAGTTAGTATTTAATGACCACCTAGTATCTGCCAGACATAGGGCTAGATCAATTGCATCCTCTACAATAACAATCTTGCAAAGTTAAGATGTTATTGTCCTCGTTTTAAAGAGTTAAAAACTGAGGCTTATTAAGATTAAGTGACTTGCCCAAGTCTAAAGCTATTGATTAAGCATAGAAAAGTCAGTATTCAAAACCCATGCCAGACTGCAAAATCAGAGATCCTGATAGTGTGTCAAATTGTACCAGAACCAGATGTCTGAAGAGCCACGCCTTAGTCTCCAACAGGTATTCTGAAAATGCAGTCCTCAGATTAACCATCACAAAATTAACTGCCTGAGGTACTGATTATAGATGAACTTTCTGAATCAGAACTTCTAGGGATAGGCCTGGGGAACGCCATTAAAAAAAAAAAAGTAATTTCTCTGGGTGATTCTTGGTATACTCAGCTCCAGTCAAACTGTAGAGGCAACGCCTCTTTGTTTAGTGAATACTTCTTTTATGGGCCATGTTCAAGGGCCTCCTTATTTTGGTGACAATTCCTACTATAATTTGTTTAAGTGTTGTTCCTATCGTTACTATTCAATTATTACACTGTGTCGTAATCATCTATTTTCTAGACTTTTTCTTAAGAGATAAAGTATCTTACTCCTTGCATGCCTACCACCAGGCCTGGCACACAGCTGGTGTGCAGTCACTGAGTTGCTCACTGAAGAGATCCCATAGCTGTTTTCCGCACATTTAGTTCTAAGCAGCAACTAATTATTAAGTTCCGTGGAATGTTCTACTAATATAACTTTCCCCATATTACTGCTTTTCATGTCCATCAAGAACTTACAGCAAACATGAAAATCTTAAAATCCTCTGGAATTGTTTAAAAAATAACCAAATTTTGTCTTTCTCTCTTCCTTCCTTTTTCTCTCTTTTCTTCATTCCACTGCTATGATAAATACATAGAACTTTATCCAGAGTATAGAAAAAATGAATAAAAGTGGATGCACCTACCAAAGATTTGGGCAGGACAATTAGACTACATTCATAACGTGTGCCCACTTAACTACCAAAGCAGTGCAAACTGTAAGCAGAAAATAAAGCATAGAAAAATTAAAATAATTTTAAAAGGAAAAACAGAAAAAGTGATGTTTGCAGATATCAGGTGGCAAATAAGAGAAGTCCTTAAGGATGAGAGTCTAACAACCTTGCACTGGTCTAATTATTGTGATGTGGTTAGGTCAGAATGCTCAGTCAAAGCAGGTCTGGTAAAGGTCTATCCTAGAGAATGCATGTATGGTAGAGAGAGTTGGGAAGTGCACTCCAGCCACTGAAATAGACATTAGTACAAGAGAAACCCCAGTCCATTTTTGAATTATGAAGCCAGGACTTCATGGCCTGAGGCTGCATCATATTTGTTCTCATGTTTGAAGTCTGTCTGCTTTCTCCTCTCCCCTCTGAAGACAAACAAAACCAGCCACCAGAAACCATACTACTGACAGAAGATCAACGATGGACACTTTGTAGCTAAAAAGCTAAAGTCAGGTTACTTTCTGACATGACACATGTCACTAGTGTGTAAAGCTAAATAACAGGAAAAATTATAGGTGTCTGAAGCAATGCTGTACTAAGGTTTAAGTGTAGGGGGGAAAGACCCTGGTCTGTTCCTAACAAGAACAGTAAGGAGTGGTGATTGAAATAAAAAGTAGTTTAGAGTGGATCTTAAAGGACAGTGCTCCAAGTTGAAAAATGCACTCCACACTTTGCAGTCACTTTCCAAGACTCAGGACTTAAGCAGGGCTTGTATTTACTTAAGTCATCCCAGGTTTGTCTCCTTTTACAACCCAATACCCGAGGGTCTATTTTTCAAAAGCAGACAGATAAGCAGGCATCCCTTATCTCTTCTGAGAAAGAAATTTACCCTCAGAAAAATTCCTTTCCCACAGAAGGAACTCAGAGAATAAATGAAGTATGCACAAATACTTTAGGTTGATGGGGACTATTTTAAGTCAAAATATCCCTGTGTAAGCAGACCATGCCAGGGTTCTGGAGTCAGAGGTGAAACAGCTCCGGAAGGAAAAACAGCTTTATCTCTGGTTTGCTCTTAAACTGAGAGTGGGCCCTTCAAGTTTCCAGCATGATCTGGGGATCTCTGAGACCCTCTGCCTTAGGTGGGCTTCCCAGATCATTCACAGCTGTGTACTAGAACAATGCCTTCAGGAAAAAGCTTTGGTGATCTGACATTCTGCTCCCCTCTGTTGTAGGATTCCATCTGAAAATTGTCCTGGAAGCTGCCATTGTCTTTTTAGCTCTTCCTTATATTTGAGATGGTTTTCTAAATATCTTAACAAGCATTTTTCAGCAGAAAACTTGATATAAATAATATAACCTGCTATTAATAGAAACTAGAAGCACGCATCACTTCTTGCCAACCCTGAAACCATGGACTAATTAAACTTATTCCACCTTTGATTTCCTAATTATGCCTATATATATGTAATAATAATATATATAAGCTTATGGGGTTGTGTGAAGAATAAATGAATCCACGCAATATGTTGGACTGAACATATACAGAGGGGGATTGTTCAGTAAATGTTAGTCTCCTGCCACTCATCATCATGGCCATCACCATATGAATATGGCCATTTGAGTTGATCTGAACAGGTTTTATTTTGAGTAAGGAATAAAGAGGACAGAAGAGCCCAGGTAGAAAAATAATGATCAGGAGATAACAGTCATTTAGATAGACTTTCTGATCCCAAAGGCCAAGTTTTGGGGTGAGAGTTTACTTTGGTTATTCTTAAAAATAACATCAAACTTTTATATTTGATTCTTAAAAATTATAATGAGCAGGGCCTCCCTGGTGGCGCAGCGGTTGAGCGCAGCTCTGTGAAGCTGTCCGCAGCCTCTGCAGTGCTAGTTGGACCCCGGCCTGCCGGTGAGGGTCCCGCATGGCGCGGCAGACCTCTCCTGTCTCGCCCGCTGCTCCCCTCAGCAGTGTATTTCGTCAGTCTGCCTGTTCTGTTCCCCGCTCTGTCTCTAGTGAGTCCTCTCACCCTCCCATGCATCTGGCCTGTGCCCCAGTTCTTGTATGCATAAATAAATAATCTTTAAAAAAAATTATAATGAGCTACAATTACTTAGCAGTGTGTTTACATGTTAGGGACTTCTATTTTTATTTATTTATTTAACTTCTATCTTTAAAATAAAGTAACTTTTTTAGTCATTAGAATTGTTGAGATATAGTTTAGTTTAATATAAGCTTCCCAATGTCTTCTCGATTTCTTTTGTAATTCTTTCTTATAAAATGTAGTAGAAAGTCTTTCTTGCTTTTGATTAAAATTTCTATTGAACATAATTATTTGTTCCTAAAAAATAGCATGTCCTTTGAATATGTCACTTTACTTTCCAGATCTGTCTCCTCATTGGTGAATGAGGTGGTTTGGGCCAGGTGACTTTTCAAGTCTTCTACAAGTTCCACTGTTTAATATGCCCGTAAATTGGTGGTGTTTTTAATGACTTAGAGCTTATATAAACCCTCCCTGACTTTTTCCCAATTATCATTTCTTCAGTCCTAAACTTTAAGATACAGGAATGTGAAGTGAGACTGTTCACATACGCAAGGCTATTTCTTTATTTTCATTTCAAAATTGGAACGGTATAGTTGGCTGTATCTGAGTAATCAGGGGGTGGGGGATGGGGTGGACTGTCTATGCTTTATAATACAAGTAAGATATTTAATACAAAAATTTAAATAATCTCTTATAATTAGTGAACAAGTCACTTTTGGAATGCAGCTTTCATAAATCAACTTATTCACTTAGCACTGTGTGAAGGATTGTATATAAAGGAGGAACAGAATAAACTCTCCCTCTGTGAAGTTCATAAACTAGATTGGAGAGACACATAAACAATTTGCATATAGCAAGAGGCATCACAGCTGAGTTCATCTCTGGAGTCTGAGAACTTACGTTTGATTCCTGACTCTGCTACCCATTAGTTATAGGAATTTGGGTAGGGTCAGTCACTTAACTGTTCCATCCCTCGGTTTCTTCATCTGTAAAATGAGAATATTATGTACCTTATAGGGTTGTTGTAAGGATTTAAAGAGTTAATATATGTAAGAGTTTAGAAGTGTGACTGGCACATAGTGCTAATTAAGTGTTAGCTATTATTATTGTTGCTATTATCACTGTACAGAGGTATGTATGAATATAAAGCAAGGAAAATAGATGTAAAATGAGGGAATTACATCAGATGATCTCTAATTATATATTCCCACAATTTATTATTTGTCTTCTACCCCATTTCCCCACCCCCATCCAAGTCACATTACTTTCTATGAATCTTTACTCACCCTTCCACAGTGATCTCTCTTTTATAACTGCCCTTACCATAGATTGCTGGTATGTCAAATTTGTATACTATAAGCCTTCTTATTCCCTAAATGTATTTTTGGTGCAGCTAAGTGTTTACTATGTCACATCTAGCGTGGTCATATAAAGTGCCATGCATCCTATTCTGGCAGTATCTTATGTAGATAACTGAGTGGTTCCACCTCACCTGGCTAACAGCAAGGAAAGTGCTCAGTAAATACTGATTGATTAATTGTAGGTACTGCATTTCAGATACAGCTTTCACTGGCATAATCCAGAGACTGGCAAATTTTTTCTGTAAAGGGCCAAATAGTAATATTTTTCACTTTGTGGGCCATATGGTTTCTGCTGTAACTTTCACAATTAGTCCATTTTGCCATTGCAGTGCCCAAGCAGCTACAGATAATACTAAACAAATGGGTGTAGCCATCTTCCAATAAAATACTTGGTTGCTGCTCTATAATTTTTTATTTTGAAATACTTACTGATTCACAAGAGATTTAGTTCTCTCCAACAGTAGTACTATAGTTCAGTATGATAATCAGGAAGTTGACATTGGTACAATTTACAAAGCTTATTCAGATTTCACAGTTTTACATGCATTCATTTGTTTGTGTGTGTGTCTGATTCTATGCAATTTTAAAACTTTCTTAACAAAAACAGGTGGTAAGCTCAATTTGATATGAGAGCTATGGTTTGCTGACCCTTGGCAAAGATTCTCATGTAGAACTCAAAGTTACAAAATAGACCAGTTAAAATAAAAGCCAACTGTTGCTAGAAAAGAAAAGCCCAAACCTTCTGCCTCCTGAAACTGTCAGCAGATAGAAGGCAGGGATTAATAGTCATGACGATAAAAATTTTTATTTCCATCTCCCACACTGCCAACCTATGATTTGTGTACTAGTATGGTTAAGTATGTGGCCAATAAGAGTCCACTGAATTAGTAAAGTTCACTGTCAGGCTATCACTCTTCATTCCGAGGTATGCTTTTTTTCAGCTTGAACTATGAAATTGATGACTAGAACTCACTCACCCAAGAAACAAAGCAATTTTGCTTTGCCAATCTAAGCTAATGTTTCATAATTTTAATCCTCACATTTTCAATTAACAGATGAACGCATCACATTCATCCATAAACAAAAAGGAAAAAAGTAATTTCTTCAATGTACACCTGGGAAAGACAACTGTAATCTGAATTTGAACATTCAAACATAATGCAATTTAATTATTAGATCAATTTAAAGCTCCTAAGAACATGATGGGTAGTTGAGAAGTTGTTTCATTTATAGTTGTTTTTTTTTTTTTTTTAAATCAGTGTCCCATAGTCTTTCAGTGACTGAAACGGCAGCATTTGGCAGGGCTTTATTAATTATAAAGGAGGTTCACCAACCTCAGCTAACCTGATAGAACTAGGAGGTTGATTAAGTTTTATGAAAACTGATATGACTTCAGAGGTTAATTTATTGTTTTTTTTTTTTATTTCACATTACCTGGAAAAATGAGAAAGGGTGAATTTTTTTTAAAAAACAATGCTAGACAAATATTACCTGTTCTGGTATCTCAATGGGAAAAATGCCTTGTATTATTCTGAGAATCCAAGATTTCATCCACATGAACATCTTTTTATCAAAACAACATATAAACAATGAATATAGAGAATAAGACCTAGGATTCCATCCATATCAACATCATTTAACTTCATGATATATTAAGACTGTTAGAAATGAAATGGATTACCTGAATAAATCAAGAACCCTCATTAAAAAAACTGAACTTAAGATGTTAAGACAAACCAAAGCTTTGCTCAAAAATGATACTAGATAAATATCTTGCATGTGTTCCCCTTTTCCCTTCATACTCTGGAAGTGATTGTGGGAACCAATGAACAAAAGCATGTTCATGGACATAAATAACTTCCCTTACTTTAAAAGTCTGGAAAAAGGAAAAGGTCAAAGCCAAGTCCACACTGGTTTTTGAAATAGTTCTACGGTTCTATTTTTACTCTTAGTAAACTTATTTCACTGGAACTAAATAAGTTATCTTATAATATGCATGAACCCAACAATTAGACAGAATGTAGAAGTTCTAAAGAAAACTGTCAGCTGTCCCTGACATTCAGAGATCCATAGTAAAAGTTGGTCACACATCAATAATTTAATTTTCATCTGGTGCCAAAGCATGTTTGTGTTCCTGGAAATAACAACCAGCCTTATCAATGGACATTTTGGTATATTTGGGGATTAATTAAATAAACTAATACATGTAATTTTTCTGTAGATTTTAAATTTCCACATTCAGCAACTTTATACTTGAACCAAACAGTTAAGTCAACAAAGCCAGTAAGTTAATAGTTTCTGTACAAGCCCTAATGTTTTAGAAAGACTTAAAAAAAAAAATCAGATCATGACTGGATCGACTTTGTAATTTATGATCTGTTAGGCTAAAACTGTGGAATTAATTCACGAATTATACATTACCCAGTACATAAAGATAAAGATGTTGGTTTTAAATGTTATTTTTGCATAAGTTTACTTACCGCCATATAAGCATTTGTTCCAACATACGTCTTGGCTATAGAATTCACCAGCTATGAGACAAAACAGTCTGTTAGAACAATATAAAGATAATGTGGAAATAAAATGGGCAATTATTCCTCATTTAACCTACAATCATCATTTCTATAAATCAACTAAAAATTATGTAAAAGGGAACAAATTTATCTACAAAGGCATTAAAAATGATTAAATCTCTCTTTTCTTTTGAATGTGATTTCCAATTTAAACAAGCACAGCATTACAGTTTATAGCAGATAACCTTAAACAATTCACTTAAACAGGATGCTTAGCGCTTTAGTACCCCAAACCCAGCTGATATAAAAAGTCAATTTGAAGTAGAATTTGAACACACTCATTTTTTAGTCAGATAGCTCAAGATGTGAATGAAACCCCTGCATTACTAGAATGAAATGAACACTAAATACGCTAGAGGGATAACAGACTTTGACAACTCATAATACAACGTTGACCTTCGCTTTGGTCTTCGTGTTTGGCTGGGAGTAAAGGTGGCTGCAATTCAAATCAACATCACAGCACGCTCATGGGTCACTATCACCGGGTTTCTCAGGGGAGGCCCAAAATGGAAATTAATTAAAATTTGTGCTGCACATTGTAATGGCCCTCCACTATTGTTGCTCCCAATATTAATTTTTATTGTGGACCAGTTGGGCTCCCCAGGCACAGCTCCCACTCTGCCCTCCCTTTTGTCTGGCCAAAACGCTTTCATATCAAAGCTGCATATCAATGAAGTTTGCTATTCGTAAGTAGTAATTACAATATCAGCAGTTTTTACTGTCATTAAACAATGAACAATCATATTCTGATGAAGGAAACTCGCTTGGAGATTAAAAATGAATAACACACTCCCAGCCAAGGAGAAGATGCAGAGTTCTGTTTGTCTGGCAGCTAGATGATTTTTTAATCCAGAGAGTAGATTAAAAATAAAAAGTGGACATTGTAGAAAGAAGAGCAGATTGGGAGGATAAAGAGACCTACCTGAGTGCTAACTCCAAAATCACACAGCTTGACCTGTCCTCTTGTGTTTACTAGCATATTGGAGGGCTTCACATCTAAAAAGAGACCAGAAAAGTCCAGGTAACTAGTTCTGCATCTACAGTGCTTATTCTTAAAAAAAAAAAAAGCATATATGCACACCATTCCATAATGCAGAAATGACATCATCTGTTCAACCAAGAATTCTGATCACAAAGTTAATGCAAAGCATTTTATCTGGAGGCAAAATGTAAGGTCCTAACTCCCCCACTTCCAACAATATCTGGTTTCTATGGAAGTAAGAGTGTATTTAAAGTGAAAGTCAAATAAAATCTTGGTTCCCAACTACAGTAAATATGACCATCACCTGATCCCTGGCCTTCAAGGAAAAGCAGATAGATAAGGAACTGTAATCTTATTACAAAGGATTTATACAAAAAGGCTTAGTTGCTGTCAGTGTGAAAATCCATCAAGTTACTCCTCCCATCTATGAAGCAGTAAGGCCAAGGGGAAGCCAACAAGGAAAAACCTCATTCATATGTTGATGGTAACAGGTCACATCTGAATGGAATAAGGAGAAAATGCAGTATTTTTATTTCCCGGTTTTATGTGATAAATGCTACCTCAGATAAAATTCAGAAACCGATCTAAAAGATGTGTGTGTGAATGCATGTGTGCAGGTATCAGTCTTTGTTCCATTTATGCTTCTCTTGCCTTACTCATCATTTTTGACTGTTGTTATAGTTAACAAAAGAACTGACATAGGCTTTTGCCAAGGCAAATAATGACACAAAGGTTTTCTGCAAAGCATCATCAGTGACAACAATAAGACTTTTCAGGAATTCGAGAAGCCTACTAAACCCACCAAGCAAGACAAGAGCACACCACTTTTGATGGTACATAACAGCACCTGCTCCAACAGTTCATTTTTTTTAAAAGATTTATTTATTTATTTATACAAGCACTGGGTACAGTCAGAAGCGTGGGAGGGTGAGAGAATTCACCAGAGCCAGAGCGCAGAGCAGACAGAAGGACCGAAGTACACTGCTGAGGGGAGCAGCGGGCGGCAGGAGAGGTTTGCGCGCCATGTGGGACCCTCCCCTGGTAGCCGGGGAGCAGCCTGGGAACGAACCAGCGCTGCAGAGGCTGCGGACAGCTTCGCAACCCAGCGCTCAACTGCTGTGCCACCGGGGAGGCCCTCCAACAGTTCATTTTCAATGACAAAAGTGATCTGGAACAGATACCTTGTTATATTTAATATAGCAAATAAATTACTCCAAAACAAGAGACTCATATTTTTTTATGAGTTCTGTTTGTCTGGCAGCTAGGTGATTTTTCAATCCAGAGAGTAGATGGGGCCTCTCCGGTGGCGCAGCAGGCAGCAGTTGAGCACTGGGTTGCGAAGCTGCCCGCAGCCTCTGCAGCGCCAGTTCGATCCCCGGCCACTGGGCGAGGGTCCCACATGGCGCGCAGACCTCTCCTGCCGCCCACTGCTCCCCTCAGCAGTGTACTTCGTCAGTCTGCTTGTTCTGCTCCCTGCTCTGCCTCTGGTGAATTCTCTCACCCTCCCACGCTTCTGTACCCAGTGCTGGTATAAATAAATAAATAAATAAATATTTAAAAAAAAAAAAAAAAAAGACAAGACCTATATGAGGTTTCTTGTAAAAAATGTTTTTTTTAAAAAATATCTCTTAAAAATAAACATTTTTTAAAAAAAATCTGTAAACGAATTAATCCCTTGACCCTACAACCTACAAAAGGGTATTCCCCAAAAAATATTTGGCCAAGAGTAGGTACTTGATTCAAGTTTCAAGCTCAAACTTAATTATCAGCAATTTTTGAGTCTTACTTGTTAAGTGACAGATGATGCACTAGGCACTTTCTCATACATTAGCTCATTTAGCTACAGCCTGATGCTGACACTAACTTATAAAGTTCATGAAGTCAGAAATATTTTCTCTCTCACTGAGATTATATTTCCAGTCATAGAAGAGTGCTAGGCATATAGTGAATGTTTAATAAATGTTTGTTGAATGGATGAGAGGATAAATGAATGGAAACCATGAACACAGCATTATTTCACATTGATGATTCTGCTTTGGTGATCAGAGATTAGCTTGGTAACATGTCCTCCAGATAACACATACTAACACAAATACACACTGTATTAGAGGCACTCTCTCTATGAATATAAGATGGTATGCCTAGGCAGCTGTAAGCTCTTTTACCAATTGGTCTCTCTGCTTCCAGTTTTCCTCATTTTAATATAAATCTTATACCACCATAATATTAAATATTTATATCATTCACTACATCATTGCTCTTCTTGAAAAGGAGGTTAAATATTCTCTGACATGCACCATATTCTTTGAAACCCCTTAAGTATAGGGTTGTACTTTCAAATGAGCCCCAGTAGTTAGCATAATACACATACATCATAGTCATGGTAAATATTCAGTGTTTGCTAAACTGAAAGAAAGATTCTACACAGTCTGGTCTTATTTTCCAAATCCAATTCTCATTACAAGCCCCCAACTTTGAATATTTTTTTTTGACAATCTACTTTTATATATGGATAGTTTTAAAACCCTCTTAAGCCACCACATCAGGTGGAGACAGTAAAAGACAAATACTTTGAACTCTTGGAAGAAGGAACTGCCTGGGAAATTTTGAGGCATGCTAAATTAACAAGGTTTTTATCACACATTTGAGTTAAGTGGATCAATAGAAAGAGAAAGAAAAACAACAAAATTCCTAGGTCACATTCTAAAAGGCAAGGTATAAATAAGAATTTAACTGCAGTTTTCAGCTCTCCAACAATTTTTTAAAATTTTTCACATAACTTGACATTTGCACATTTACCTCTCAGCCTAGTTTTTGGGAGCACTTGATGTAACAAAAGTAAGAGAGACATGGAGTCATCCTGGAACCAACCAACCTTTGTAGTCAAACTACACTGCTTAAATCATTTTAAAAAAGAAGCAACCCCCAAAATTCCCATTGCTGACTCTTCATTCTTACTGTGTGTTTGCCCCCTTCTCCCTCCCACCCCCAGGTTTAGAAATCCTTCCTCAGTATTTTCTGACTGAACCCTTACCATTTTTCAATCCAGTACCCCACTTCCTGAAGCCCTAAGTACTTAGGTCGTCAAAGTCACTGCTTCTTTTGAACTGCTAGTAGCTGCTCCTTGGAACTGAGTAGATGATACATATTTTTTTTTTTAGTAGGGGCTCCTTACCACAAGATACCTGTTGCAGGTATCAGCACCTCCAGTAGTAAGTCCACAGGGGAGAAACATGCTTTGTGTATCTTTGTACATCTCTATTTGGAGCACAGCATCTTGCTCGCTGGCTGATGACTTTTTAAACAATATACTAAGTTTCCTAACAATATACTAAGATTCCTCGGCAGTATCTTAGGACACCACTTGATCATAACAACAGACTCCTTTCAACAGTTTGGACTAGGAAATAAAAGACCCGGATTTTAGTCATGTTCGCCCTGCCACCATATGGCATGTGACTGGACTAGGCTTGTGATACAGTAGTCTCCACCTCTGTGAGGAGACAACAGTAGCTGTGTGGGTATCTTAAATCACTTTCATAGGGCAAATGTTCTATAAATGTAAGGCACTACTATTATTCACTGATAATCAACTAAATTATGAAAAGTGGTATGTTTTAAACTATTTAGAAAATAATTTCTATTGCTACTAGCAAACTTATAAAGCTGTATTTGAGTAAAATGCTAGCTGCAAGAAAGTAATTTCCAAAGTAATACCATAACATAATACCAATTTTTGCCAGACCATATGCACTCATTCCTCAACAAGGTTCCTCAACTGGCCTCCCAATTTTTATATGTGCTATATAATAGTCTGTGCTGGACATAGTAGCCAAAGTGATTAAATCAGACCATGTCATTTCTCTGCCTAAAAACTTGAAGGGCTGTCCAACTCACTACCAATAGTGGTTCCCCGCTATCTCTGCGCTTCCTACTCCTCTACGTGCCCAGTCAGCTTCATCTTCCCAGCTTCCTCCCAGTTTGCCCCAGCTTTGTGGTTCTGTATCCCTGGCATTCATTGCTCACATATATATGCACGGCTTGTCCCTTTGCCTTTTTTTTTTTTTTTTAATAGATTTATTTATTTATTTTTACAAGCACTGGGTACAGTCAGAAGCGCGGGAGGGTGAGAGAGTTCACCAGAGCCAGAGCAGGGAGCAGAGCAAGAGAAGGACCGAAGTACACTGCTGAGGGGAGCAGCGGGCGGCAGGAGAGGTCTGCGCGCCATGTGGGACCCTCCCCTGGTGGCCTGGGAGCGGCCGGGGATTGAACCGGCGCTGCAGAGGCTGAGGGCACCTTTGCAACCCAGCGCTCAACTGCTGCGCCACCGGGGAGGTCCCCCTTTTGCCTTTTTTTTTTTTTTTTAGGTTTTCACTCATATGCTATCATTTTGAGAGAAGCCTTTTCCTAATCACTCAGTAGGAAACTGCAACACCTTCCCTTCTCAGATACTTCCTTTTCCTCTTTCATTTCAATGTTCTTAACACACAGCACCACCATGTAAATCTGCTCTCTCAGTCCTCCCCTCTTGAAGGAAAGTTCTGTGAATGCATACTCGAGCTGTTTCATTCACTAGTGCATCGCAAACAGCTACTCATACAGACAAGAAACACTTGTTGAATAAATGGTGACTAAATGATCTCTCTCCTAAATAGATGGGCAAACATACTCACCCAGAGAAGCAATTTTGGCTTGAGAAGGAGCTGCATCTTTTCTCACTTAATGGAAAATACTTCTACTGAATATTTGGAATTGAATATTCTGTAGGCCACTGAAATATCTTGTCCTTTTTTTTTTTTGGATTGGGTTTTCTGGTTTGTTTGTTGTTGTTTTTACTGTTAATGCATACATTTCTAAATGACATTTGTCATTCTGAGAAGAATCCAGAGTCATGAAAAAATATTCATTCAACAAATATTTACTGACTTCTTACCAGGTGCAAGATATGGCTGTAGATGTTGTGGGGAGAACCATGAATAAGACTCTCCAAAGAGAATGCAGAGCATGGATCTGT